AATCAAGCACCACACCCTCTCTGTGCCGTTCGTATAATATTAAGTTTGTCCCCATCTAGTGTTTTACGCTTCCCAAGCGAAGCAAGATTCTAAATAAAAAAATTCTTGACCCTCCCCTTAATTTTCTAAATCCTGAATAGGACAGTGCCTGCAGAAATGCATCCTGCAGCGCTAATGTGTTGTTGTCCCACAATTATATACCTTTTGCGTGGAATGATGACTGGAATAAAAAAGAAGATATATCGTTACTAAAGCGTGAAATGCTCATTCGAATACATTGTATAAATAGCTTAAAGCAAACGAAAAAAATGGTTTGATAACAATTAAGGACTATCACATCATTTTCATTGCAATGAACGTCCTTGTCGTTTATGAACTACGCAGTATAAACAGAGAATTGTTTTGATTAGTTAAAACAACAGCTCAGATAGTTTTCCTTATATGCTCCTCCACAAAATACAAAACTTTTATGATACGATATTTTTCAAATAACAATTGAGCCATGAAGCGGTGAGTCATTGCAATTCTATTTATCTTTCAGTAAATATCCAATTGTTTGTTGCAATATTTTTACTATTTAGAAGTTTGCTGTGGGCCTTATGAGATTTTACAAATGAAAACCATGCTATTTAAGACTTCGATAGCTACAGCAGTGGCTGTATAATTTGCCTTCGCAAAAAGATTGACTCAGTCCCATGTAAACCTGCACCGACAAACCATCATTTCAATGATAACGAAACAGCTACTTGTATAAAGGACATACAGCAATATTCATAAATGAATACTCTATATACTCACCACAATCTTTTGAAGGGTCCCCTTTCCTTTCAGCACAGCAACTGTGAATCCTACAACACTGAGAGCTTCGTCCTTGAGGGCAGTCTCTAGAACCTCCTTGTAATTCTCGGTAGTCAGTTTACCGCACAGGTCACTCACGGAGTCCAGTAAGGCCTCCACGCACTCGCGACTGGCGCTAGCGGTCACTTCGTACTGGATGCGACAAACCTGCCGCATGGTGTCCGCTATAGGCAACAAGACACCGTACGGGTCCCTACCAAAAACCGACACCTCACTCAAATCTGGGTAGAGTGTCAACTTTAATTGATCACGTTCGTTACAGTGACGTAGGTCGGAATCACTGACGTCATCAAATAGATCATCTACTGGTGACGTCATGACATGCACCGCAGAATGTTCGAGCACGTGCAGCGTGACGTTCCCATGGCACAAGTAGATCCAGTTTTCACCGCTCTTGGTTTCTCTGGGTTTGAAATCCAACAAAAAAGCTGGCTCGTCGTCCATTTTGATGCAGATCCCCGTGCCGTTGTATGGCATGCCCTGGACGGGGGTTTGATAAACACACCAGCTAAACTTACTGAAAGGTCTCTGTTTTTTGAGGGAGACCAAGTCTAGCAGTGTCTCAAGTCGTTCCTCCAGCTCGTCTGCTAAAATGTCACGTGCATACACGCGCACAAATTTCGTGTTTGATAACGCCATGCTTGCTTATTGCTACCTACATGTATAAACAGGGAATTCCCTGTTAAATTTCATCCAAATGTTTCTAAAAATTCGGTGCTCGTGGAAGTAGCTAAAGGGTCATTATGTTACCTTGGCAGTCTTTGGATTATTTCAAGTGTCTGTCCGTGGCTTAATTCAAGAGTTCACAAAGATAACAAAACACACTGTACATTTCCTTAGGACAGCAGCGTACAGAGCAGCACCGTTTTGAGAACGGCTAGCACCTGGCTGCGAAATTAACCACTGCCATTGCCACTGGATTTTTAACCCGATTTTTGGCGCCGATAATAAAAGTAACGAAACTCAAATGTAGTGAGGGTTGCCGCTGATCATACACGAAAATGCCGATCTTGATTAGACCGAAATAATCCCTTCTGTGTCGTCTTCCAAAGGCGTGAAATTCACGAGTCCGTGCGGTCCATATAATTATTATAAGGAAACTAGAACTCACAGTGGATCTGTTGACACCGGGTCCTTCATAAAAGACAATGTTTACAGACTGTAGTGTGCCCCTGAACTGAAGTTGCTATGTGAGAAGAGAAAAGTCAATATTGATATTGACTAGTTATGTCAAAGATCAAGAAAACGTCTGTTGTAGGGGCATTGATCAGGCTGTTTAATTAGCCTGTACACGTGCAATGGACCATAAACAGTGCACATATGGATAAAGGTACTGGTTTACTTGGTCTTGTAGCTCTATAGACAATAAACTGGGAATATGTGACAGCAAATGCCTCTCTTCACCGTATATTCTTGCCATCATCTCCCGACGTAAGGCTAATAACGCCGATGTAATATCAGGGCAAATCCATGCTAGGGGGAGCTTCGAGAGAAAGTAGGCGAAGGACGTGCAATTGCTTTTATTTTGGTTCCCTTTGAATGACGTGCATATAAAAAATCTTTAAAAATCCTTTTTTATTGTGAAATTCTCGACTACCGCGCGGTTCATGCAAAAAAAAAAAAAAAAAGTGTACAACTTTTATACCAGTATGCTAGTAATGACCAAGAACCACTATAATGTTGTCTTTCGATCCCTTTTATTTTACCAAAACGACAACATATCAAAATATGCAAATTGCAAGTGCTTGCAGTAGTGGCAAAACTGTATCACACTAACCTAGTTTACTCAGTGTTTTCTTTATTGCCATAGAAACATATAAAGTGACGTCATGGATTTCGTATCATCAGCATTATCTTTGACCCCTTACGCGACTGATTGGAAAATTTCATACACTGAAGGATTCAAAAGTACAACCATAATTAAAATTAAAATATTATTTTTTATCAACTTGAATAAAAAGAATAAGGATATTTTGCACAAAGAAATGTGAAAAAATTGTTACATTTAATTTAAACAAATTAAGCTTATGATGACACAAACTAAATGACATTTATAGAATTACAAAAAAAAAAACAAAAAAAAAACGCCAAGAATTTTAAACAATCACTGATATATTCTTAAGAAATATTTGTTAATTTTAGCCTAAGCTTTTGTGCATTAAAAAGATAAGCAAGCCCAGAAATTATCTGCAATTAACACTTACAACATAATACAGGTTAACGAAATCAGTGCTTTAAAAATAAAAGCATCCATAACCATATGATAAAAACTATACTAAAACTTAGCCTCTATTTTCAGCAGAAAAAATAAATATTGTGCGTTGATAATGGAGACGCAGAGTACATCAGACTTAATGACATCACTTAATGACAAAAAATCATCCTGACATCAATCAGATGCTAAGTTTGGTAGGTTGATGATGTCAATTAGACTTTTACAATTCAACTCAGTCCTGATGTAAATGCACACACTGAGTAGTGGAGGTACTCTGTTCATAACCTTAAACTATGGTACATTGCTTCTAATCTCTCCCCCCCCCAAAAAAAAATAAAATAAAATAAATAAATAAATAAATAAATAAATAAATAAATAAATAAAAAACAATCCCAACATTTCATTTTTTATCATTATCAGTAGCTCTAAAAATAATTTATGACATGAAACCAAACTCAGTATTCAAATTCAGTTTTGGTACTAACTGTTTTCATCTATTATTACCATTAGCAGAAATAATGGCCAGTAATTAACCAATTTAATAACCATATTTTACTGCTATTTGGTGTTGTACCAATGCTAATGCCACAGACCGCAATTATACAATAACAAATCTGGTCTCTCAGACCCTGTTCCCATACCTAGATTGATCTAGCAGGATCAACCCATATCTGAGGGGTTTCTTGCTAAATTGCATTCAGCTTAAGTGGCTCTGATGTGTGGCATGCCTAATGAAGCTGTTAGGGGGTAGCTATTAGCTATTGTAAAGCAGATTCAATAGGCGTGCCAGACATCTAAGCAATTTAATGAGAAACCCCTCAAAGATGGATCGATTCTGCTAGATCGCTCTAGGTATGCAAATGGGGTCTTAATCATTCATTCTCAGGCCTTATAAACAGATAAAGCCACAGATTTGTGAGCCACAAATCAAGAACTCCAACATAAAATATTTAGTTAAAAGCACAGCCATAGGACCCACAAACCGTAAATCCAAATTGTTTGTTATGTCCAACGCTGTGCTCATGGCTACTAATTTTCGTAGGGGCACTAAACTCTGGGCTTGTTTGTGCTCCCAAATCTAAAGCTCGTGTAAGCAAGCCACAATTATTGTTTATGAGGCCTGAGTCTTGTATAACAGTGCCTAATGATGAGAAAAAGATTCTGCTCATTAGGCTTGAGGTATCTTAGTCTCTGTATAGAAATACATGTACATATAATCCAGAGAGATTTCACTATGTAGTTTCTTCTGTTTAATATTATAGGTTGACCAAACCCTTATGGTTAAATGTTACCACTGCCAACAATCATAAATAGATAATAATAATAATAACAGTGATAAATTTCAAATTGCATAATTAATGCAATTGTCTCACACAAGTATAACATCTACTAATAAAAGCAAAGATTTAATGAATATTCAGGATCTAAACCATTAAAACCCCACCAAAACTTATAAATAAATATATCAATCACTGAACAAGTACCAATCTAATGGTAAAAGTTAAATCAACTTTCCATTTTTTTAAGGGTTTGGGTATGAAAATAATATGTACTTCTTACATCAAAATAATATTGGCAAGGCATTTTGGAAAAAAGGTAAATGGTTTCAATACCCTGTAATGCTGTATGTAAAAAAAAGGTCTGGATATAACAGTAACAACTGAAAAAGAGAAAAAGTATCCTTCTTCACCTATTTATCTAGTTAAACAAAACGTGTTAGCTTTCAACTCTCTTGTATATATCTGAAAAAAGAAAAAAAATGCTCTTTAACTCTCTTGTTTTTACCCAACTACCCCCCCCCCCCCAAAAAAAAAAAAAAAAAAAAGAATGTAAATAATACAAAATCCAGGCTGGTAATCTCCATATAAAATTTGTAGTTTTGCATTGGGGTAGATCACTTGGAAATGGCACGTTTATCATGTTTTCATGATGGAAACTATGCTTTCTAAATTCCATGAACAATGCTACAATTACAATTCTTTATTGAGTTTATATAAGTTCAATATCAATGTGTAGAAAGAGCAAGCAACTGATAGATAAAAACATCAAAAAAGAAACTAGCCTGTTCATTTTTGTCACTCATAAAAAAGTAAGATAAAATTATCCTATTAATGATTAAAAAATGACCTTGTATGTATTAAAACATTACCAAAAACAGATCAACCACCTTAAATAAGAAAAGAAAACAGTTTTCATTGCTGTCATTAACCACAAGAGATATTATCTAATATTATCAATCAATAATTTTATAATAATTAAAGTTGAGTCATCCTATATGGGATATTCCCACCAAATCACATTTTTTTCTCTGACAAGAAATAATTTTTTCCTGCTCCCAAATCAATGGAGACAAAAATAAATTATAAATCAACAACAACAAAGACAGTAGAGGTTGCTCCACAGCAAAGGTAAGACTGGATACAACCAATGTTATCTCCAAAAGAAGAAAACCTGACGTTTTTTTATTGCAACTGAGAGATGAATTTTAGTAATCTCTGATACTCTGATGTGACAAAAAATTAATGGTCTGAATCAAATTTTATCTAATTCACCTCCACGTTAATTCTATGCCATGAGTTATTCATTAGTCCTCTCAGGTTCCATATTCCAGCTACAGAGTCGGGTTGAACATTGTGCGAGGAATCCACAGCCTTGCATATCAGCTCCATGTTCCCTTTGAAACCCTCAGGGATGGGGACGTCCACTTCCCAGAGGGTCCAAGACCACTCCTGATAGGGCCTCTGGCCAGGTTTTTGAAGACTGGCAACTTGCCAAGTCTTTCCGCCGTCGGCTGAAATATCGACACGCATGATGCCTCGTCCACCTCCGCTCCAGGCATAGCCCTTCAAAGTAATCTCACCATCTTCGCCATCAATTTTCTGCCCCGCGCTGGGGACGCAAATGGCAGATGTGATGGGAAAATCCTGCAGAGCTGGAGACTTTGAGAAGTCCGCTGTGTCCCAGTCGATGGATGGACTGAAACTTTTGTAATCCCTCTGCTGCCAGAAGCTGGGGCTCTCATCGGGACTAACCACAATCTTTGACAGCCATTTCACATTGCGGGCTCCTGCTATCCCGGGGCAAATCACTCTGACAGGATACCCATGATCGGTGGGGATATCCTCTCCATTCATTTCATAAGCCAAGAGAACCTCTCTGAAAGGGTTCATTGCTATCTCAATGGGTACAGAAGCACCATACGGGTTGTTTGACTCGTCCTTGTCAAGACCCTCAAATTGTACGTGGCAGTTTTTGGGATCATCGAGGGAGACACCTGCAGCCTTCAAAACGTCCACTAGGAGGACACCAGACCATTCGGCATTGCTGATGGCAGTGAAAGTCCAAGACAGTCCCTTGACAGGTCTTTGACTTGACATCTCTTTCCTGCGGTTCCCAGCACACTGGAGTGTTGCCGTAATTGTATGCTTTTTGTATTTCTTCTTCAGGTCCTGCAGAGAAAGTGAAATTGGTTTCTTGCCCTGGACTTCAATCACTAATCTGTACCTGAGGGGAAAAAAAGAAAAAAATATTTGATGTCCGTTCCAATCCACTTTCCCTCTTTAATAACTTTTTTTGCTCTGTTAGTGTATTGTGCCATGTGTGATTATTTAATGTGTATGTTAGATGAGATATTGTGTTAGGTAAGACAATGAAGAGATGTGGCAATGTGCTAGGTATGATCACTTAATGTGTGTGTTAGATGAGGCATTGTGTTAGGAGTGACAGTGAAGAGATGTGACAATGCCCTAGGTGTGACCACCTAACGTGTGTGTTTGATGAGACATTGTGCTAGGTGTGACAGTAAACAGAAATGACAATGTGCTAGGTGTCATTCCTTACAACGCGTGTGTTAGAAGTTAGAGGTAACTTTTAAATGTGCATGTTAGATAACAGAGCATGAAGTGTGAGTCAACAGTGCAAATAAATTCTTACTTTTTCATATCCACCTCAGGCACTGGCAGATGATTCCGTACAAAAAATAAACTGCTAGGAGTGATGAAATTATCCACCAAAAGTTCTGGTGGGCTCTCTGCGTTGAATGGCTTTTCTGTGTTTCGCTTGAGTGCTGGATGGCGATCTGGATCAAATCGATATGGGTCGCTAGCGTCCTTCAAAGCAACCTTTCCAGCATCCTTGAAGTTCCCTATGCGATAAGTCTCCAAGATTTCGTAGACTTCAGGTTTTTTGTGTGCAGCATACAAATGCCAAAATGGTTCTAATGAGCCACCTGTAAAGAGAAAAATAAGATTCATGACTCCACCTTTATTAAAAGAAACATTTTCACTGAACAGCCTAAAGAGCAGTAAGCAGTAATATTTCGCAATTAACAATGGGCTTGTATCGTTAAGGTAAAACTAAAGACAGTTCTATGCAACAAATTTGGAGATGACAGGATGTGAAAAAACTCTCTTTTTATTTTCCTTACACCCGTGTAGGTAGATACACTATAAAAATCCCCTCTCTTATTTTTCACCACCATTTGATGCATAATTAATATCATAATTAACTGAAACCAAGGCTTAAAGCTGTCAAGATACAGGTCTCTCCCTTTTTCCTTTAATTTCCTTTTTTAAATCTTGATAGATGTTTTTTAGAAATTCAGATACTGTATCAGGGGTCGAAACAGACGGTCGCCCACTCGCCAATGCGACTTAGAAACGTCCCGGGCGACTACCTGTCAGGGGTACTGGTCCGTTTTGGCGACCGCTGAAAAGTGCCCAACATCGTTGTCAACCCCACAGTCTGCGACGTGAAGCACTAGCCCGAGGCAATTGCCCACTAAAAGTGGCACCGGGCTAGTAAAAAAGTTGAAATTTTATAAAGCACTAGCTGTAATTTTGAACCTATTTTAACCCTCAGTAAGATTTCACTAAGGTCCACTGGTCCGTATTGGCCAGTCCTGCCCAAATCCCCTCTCTTATTTTTCACCACCATTTGATGCATAATTAATATCATAATTAACTGAAACCAAGGCTTAAAGCTGTCAAGATACAGGTCTCTCCCTTTTTCCTTTAATTTCCTTTTTTAAATCTTGATAGATGTTTTTTAGAAATTCAGATACTGTATGGGTTCAACAGACGGTCTGTCAAACCCAGACAGTTCAATGTACCTGCAGCAAGCTTTATCTTTTCTCCTCCAGGGTGCAGATCTATAAATTCGGTGATATCATAGACGCCATGTTTGTACGTCACCCAGATGCGACTGCCATTTCCTTTATGTTTCTCGACATCTTTCAGGCTGTACTCTGGCAGTCCCGCCTTCCTGTCTCCTCCCTGTAGTTCACCACTCGCTGCGTGTAAAATCCAGAATCTTGATTTTTTGAAGTAAACCAGAACACCTGAAATAAAAGTGATAATTGTTTTCATTTTCTTCCTTTGGATGTCTTAAGTTCTGTTGATCTCTTCAAAATTTCTACTGTATGCACATGTAATTATATCATTTACACCTTTGAAACTTGCATTAGGATTTGCAAAACTTTTCAAAGTTACTATCATGGCCAAAAATACAAGACCCGCAACTATGTTACACAGAAAATTTAGATGAAAAGAAATATTTCAAAATCTAATTAAAGGGATAATAACTCTTCATTTTGGCCAAAAAATGAATTTTCCTGGAGTAAACAACAATTTTTCCATACTAACCAGTGGATAATGAATCAATTTTTAGATTCAAAGTTAGTCCCTGGTTTTTTTCTAAAAAGTTTGGTTTTTTGTTATAATCTCTGAAGAGATTATAACAGAGTATAGCTTTCAATGGAGGTCACGTGGTCTAAAGACAAGCTCAGATATCAGAATAATAGCTATACCTCTCATTTTTTCTTATACAACAGAATATATTATATTTCTATGAGTTGTTCACAATGTTTTTATTGTGAAATATACATCTCATACAAAGAGTTATTAACCCTTTAATTTGCTTCTGAAGTTATTGAACTTCAAGTTGATGGCTTTGGGTGACCTGTAGCCATTACGGTATCTTGACTGTCATCTATGAGAATTAAAGTTTATAAATTCTACTCAGATTTAGCTTTACTTTTATTTCATTACAAATACATTATACTGTGTTCAAATGTACTTTTTTTACATACATGTGTATTCCACTTTCTGGTGTCAGTGGGTCTTCAGTGAACAAGACAAGGCCAAACAGCACTAACAGATATTGTTTACACGTTTGAGAAAAAACTTAAAGTTCAGGAGATTAATTCAGCACAAAATGTCTGTTAATGTTATTGGATTGAGCGAGAGTTAGTAGACAGTGGAGTTAGTGTGCAGCAGCTACAATGTAGATTCATTGTGAAAACATCCTTTTACATTAGAGTAACTTTAGAAGTAAAGGCAAAAGGCATGTGGCATGCCTATTCAAAGTAAAGCCTTGTGTAAAACTACCCTCCATGGGAAGATAGATAGGAATTTTTCAGGCCATGTATTTCTGTATTAGGTCTTTACAAACTCAGTAGAGCAAAGACTCTTTTGAATCTGTACTAGTACTTCATTTAAGAGCCAAATTAATCCAGGCACCAATTTTTGAGGTCTTAAGAAAAATTACTAGCTGCTGGTACATTGTGCATAATTTGTATTGCTTTAATGGGACTGCATTGATTTTATTGACCACCAAATTGAGCACCTTTTTTCTTTGCTTTTTTTTCATAAGGCAAGTTAAGAACAACTCCTTCATGCAAGGTTTACACTTTAAAGGACATATCTGCGAGATAAAACTTGAAATTACTTGAAGTGAACTGTACTAAAAGTACTTACAGTGTACTTTTAACTACAGAATACATGTGCTGAGTATGAATATAAAAACACTTCATTTTTAAACTCCCAAACATTTTATATCCGTTGTATATATATTGAAAGCCAACTGGTTATCGTCATCTAATTTCTGAATAAATAAAATGTTTTCCATGGAAAAAAATAGTGGAAAATCGAAATAACATTTCTATATTATGACCTTGCAACAGTACTATTCTTTTTTTTTTTCTCAGTGAGACCCTCTTCAAGCAAATTAAACAAATTGTTTTCCATAAGCACACATTTCTGACATGCTGCTTTGGTCACATCAATGTAATTTCCATGAGCATGAAAAGTATTTAGGTTGTTGGGATTACTTTACAAGTGATATGGTTTCAGTGACCTTCACCCAAGGACGTTTCAAGGTCACCTTGAAACATGTTCAAGGGCATGAAGGTCTTACTTGTCAAAAGAGAGGACATTTTTGAAGTGTGTGACTACAGATGTGTGAAATTAAACCATGCAGGCATCAGCAACTTTAAGAATGTTACTGTATTGACTTGAAATAAAACTGATGACACTGTGTTTCTAGAATATATGTACATACAGTATGATAATAAATAAATAAATAAATAAATTGATAGATAAATGATTGAAATGCCTTTATCAGCACATTTCTGTAGATCTTTAATGACCAAGGTGTATGTAAGAAAGCTTTCAAGACTGGTTCTTGCAGGGGCTTACACACATATTACATCTAAACAGTTTATAGCCATGACTTTTATATCAAAATAAAACACATAACAGTTGTTATAAACTGCAGTGGTGTGTTCCAAGAAAAAATAATGTCATAAAGTCAATGTTTTCTTATTTTGTATGCTGTAATGTTCAACTTCTTCAGACAAAACAATATTTTCCACCTGCTATTAAGGCACATATTTATGTCCTGACATGCTGCTTTGGTCACACCAAAGTAATTTCCTAGAGCATATGTCAAACTGGTATTTATTTTGTTTGGATCCTTTTTAATTTAATGTGAGGATTTCAATGATATGATATGACCTTCACCCAAGGACATCTCAAGGTCACCTTGAAACATGCCCAATGACATGAAGGTTGACAGAAGAGAAGCTATTTAAGGAACATATATTAAAGACAAATGTGAAACTGGGTGTCGGCAAAAATATGCCCCCGTAAAAAACTTAAAATGAAACTGATTACACTGTGTGCTTTTACAATACATACAGCAATAAATTTTTAAAAGGAATAGTTTTAATGATTTTATCAGCACACTTCTATAAATCTTTAATGACTAAGGTAAGAAAGCTTTCAGGATTTGTTCAAATCCTTATACTGACTGATATAACATCAAGAGAGAGTTTATAGCTAGGTGATCCAGGATTGCTATACAAAGTTAAGCATACTGTATATATATTTGTTATAAAAACCGTGGCATGTTCCAGGGAAAAAGATGGACCAACTGTTTATATTATTCATCCCTACCAGTACAACATGAATTCTTTTTTTTTTTTTTTTTTTGTATACTGTAATATAATTCAACTTTTTGGACAAAATATTTTCCAGCACTTTGGTTACATTAAGGTAATTTCCATGAGCATAACAAACTTGTACCTACTAGTATGTTGTTTGTATCAGTTTAAAATTATATGCGATTATTTCAATGATGTACGATATGACCTTCACCTAAGGACATCTCAAGGTCACCTTGGCTTGAAACATGCGCAAGGACATGAAGGTCTTGCCTGTCAATAGAAAAGACATTATATTTGTGTAGTATTGTAATATTCACCTTACAGCACTCAAAACTGTCAATCCTTGTTAAAATTCATGGTAACATGAGATAAAATAAGACATATAAAGATTATGCAGATTGCAAGGAGACAGAAAACATCACGTTTGTCTCCTCACTCCCTAACCTTTCTTTCTCCCCAAATACCCTGGATCCACCCCCAGTGCATATTTTAACATTCAAAATTGTGTTTAGGATCTTTTCTTCTCACTTCAAGGTGCCCTCAGAACATTACACAGAGGCATCAATATCAGTGCCTGGGTCAACTGACTTCTCTATCTGAGTATTAATGTGTTCTCGTGCACACCAGCGACTGCCTGACACTCACTGAAAACCCCATTAGTAGCCCTGAATTACATGTGCAATTCACTGGAATTACCATTGCTTCAAAGCTTTTAATACTAGACATGGCTTAATTTATTAGACTGATAAGACAATGAGCACTATGTATTATATTAGAATATTGATAGCCGATACATGTACAGCGTGTATATATCCATCCGTATACCTGGTAGAACATCATCCTTGCCTACTTGTATATATATACATCTGGGTCATAGTGTTTTAGTGGATGTTTTTACAGTGATAAGAAAAAGTGGAAATGGGTCATTTAACATTCATCCTATTGTATTCAACTCATGCACCTGTATATGGTAACCCCAACTGAGTTTCAAAGTTAATAAACCAGGAACTTCTCTCTAAGTTGTCAACATACACTAGAAATATTAGGAGGTTAATCTCCTGTTAAATGTGAAACACAGGTTGTAAGAAGTGAAGTTGGAAAGTGGGGGGGTGGTGGAGGGGAGGGGGGAGGGGGGGGGGACAAAAAACTGCATTGAGAGGCTTGGTCAAGTGGGAAACTCAAGGGTGCAGATTGCACTGAGCTTGATATGTGTGTGTGTGTGTGTGTGTGTACGCACACATGTTCATATATGTGCATGCTGTTTAATTCATTGAAGAGCATAACTGGAATAAATTCGACAGGCTCCTGATTACCACATACAGTTGTTTGCAGTCAGGTTATAAATAAACTCTCAACTTATCCCGATAACTGATCTTTAGTCCTGTTTTGGGATGACATTCATCTGGCACTGTCTGCTGAGTGTAACTGGGACATTGAAGATAATTGTGTCAACCTGGCTGCAGAATGCTGCCCTTGCCTAGACATTTCTTATATAACCAAATGGAAAAACGTGCTCCTCATGTAATAAATGGTTTCAAGTTACCTAGGTGTCATTCATTGTATTAAAGGTCATATGTATACTATTTAAAGCACAACAATGCAGGGGTGCATGAAGGCCGGCTGTTCTGGTACAGCTAAAATATGACTTCTAGTATTAATTCAGGGCTGGCAGGCATAACTATATGACCTCCTCCTCCCCCCCCCCCCCCCCCCCCCCCCCCCCCCCCAGGTGCACCCCCACCCCTCTGCACTAGCCCTAGTACTTCATGCATATGCCTCTTTTATTAGTTTCTTCTTCAATAAATGTGTGAAGATGAAAAAATAAATTGTAATGCAAACCTTACTGGGGGAGCAATGGAGAAGAGCAGGAATCAGTAATGTGCATTAATTGATCGTCTATCATTTCGTCTAGTAAAATTTCCATATATCTTTTCAAATCATTCATATTTCCTTTCAATAATATGGTTTAATTATTAATTATTTGCAGCCTGCCATATATGTTTCTGTATAAATATACAGATTAATTATTTAGGATGGGGGTATAGTAGATGTTGTCTATATAAAATTATACTTGTATATCAAATGACTGCAACTCTTAATTGTTATATCTGAATGAATTTCACTATATTGTAAAAACATTGTAAACTGAGATGTTAGTTGCCAATTTAAACTTTTTTATTTGGATAGTAAATATTTTCAATTGATCAAAGTCAGCAGATATATTGCAGTAACTGAAATATAGAATCAAAGGCTTAAAAATTGTAGGTATAAAGCATATTATTAAGTATGAAACACTAGTTTAAATTATATATATATATATACATATATACATGTATATAAATTGTATATATATAGTTTTATACTGGTTTATTTTTTTCAGAATATATCTGTTAAAAGGTTACATGTACTAAGTACTACACAATGCCAAATGGTTACAAGATTCAGGACACTAGCGATGTTCGTGGGGCAATACCTTGCAAAGTCACGGTCACATAGACGTTTTTCTTGGGCGCAGTTTACTGGCAATCTAGTTGTAGTGTAACTACAATACCGTCTCAAGTGTAAACAAACATTATCCTTGCAGCACGCGAACGCCAATAATCCCTTTAATCTGAAGTGCACTTACGTCTGAGGCAATTGGCACCATAAATTATCACGTTATATATGGTGATGTATATCATGTGTTATATAAAAAGAATGCAAACTGCAAATCAAATGTGTTAATATCGGCATTTTTTTAAAAATCTTACCAACGCCAGCGACGGCTGCCACGCCGCCAAGCAAAACTTTTTGGTGCCTCCCTTTCTGGAACTTGGCTGTCAGTTTTCCCGGGGACGTGTGCAGCCTTGAGACACGTGCACTGATTCCTTGCACCCCCAACAGACCGCTGAAAGGGCTTACATTTCGCGACACGGCGGCAGAAAGACGCGCACACTTCCCCAGGACAGCTGCCATCTCGCTCTCACTGTCGGTCTTACTGCACCGACGCTTAAATCAATCTAAAATAATGTAAACAAAACCCATGCGCAAGGTCTTTATCGTTGAGACATTTTATTTTGGGCCAATCAGGAATGCGAGTAATAAAAAAAGAATAGTGCTCACCCCTTTTTATTCATTAATAGACATGAGAGCTAAAATGCGAAATTAAGTGGGGGAGGTCCAGAAATTAAGCATTGTGATTGGCTGAAAAGGTCCAAGGTCATTTAGTGCGTGGTTAATTAGGTCGACGTTGAGGACTTCGTTTCTTTGCAGAATTTTAGCTTCCATCGTTTCAAAAGAACTTTTTTGTAACATGTACATGTTTCAGGTGTACTGAAAATATTCCCAAATCCATACAGAATTTAAAAGCAAATTGATATCAAAACATCATATTTAGAATCAAAATATGGCATATTTTATTATGACTAGGAACTGGTGGACATAGCACGGTGCCTGCATGTACTTTGAGATTCAGATTTCAGAAATATTCGATTAAATTACATTGCATTACAAAAGGTCGATCAATAACGATCTATGATTACCGCCTAGGGTACATAACAGTTCCTTAGCAAAATGAAAAGACTGCAGCAATAATGCTGCAATTAAGCTAAAAGTTTGCAAGAGTTAATTGGCAAGAAAAATTCGCTGCAGTAGGTCTGATATCTTGCTTATAGGGAGGGTACGTATATGTACATGCAGCATGCATGGTTTCATGAGAAAAGCCGTGTTTATAATCATGATGACGATAGAAGGCGTTTGTTAGAAAATATAGTAACAATAATAATTATAAATAGATTTATTATTAAATGACAAGATTAAGACCGATATATAGTAAAAAATAAGATGAAATTTTATTTGGAAATTTTATTTGAGGACAAAAATGCATATTAGTAGAGTTTTTAAGGAGTACAAAACCATAAAGCGGCGAATTTAGCCACTTTAGATAAAAGTGCAATTGGTTGAATTCAAAACAGGATCAAAATATGACTTCAGTACTTCGCTACTAGATTATTTTTGGCTCATTACAAGTTTTTTTTTTCTTTTAGTCGTATGCTATTAGGGAATGTGATAGATGCGACAATCTCAATGTGTCCATTCAGTCAGGTGCCCCTGGGCAGTGAAATGTTATTTTTCAACAAAGATAATATATACTATTGTTCCTGGCCCACAGATACATTTAAAAAGACACTGTAATCTGATATACATTAAAGACACATTAAAAAATATCCCAAAGCCAAATTTTTATCCAGCTAAGCATGTTATCTTTTATTTCCCCAATTCAGACCTTACAGACCATAAAGACCCTTAAATAAGTTTATCTGAAGCACACTTACTGTCACTATTTCCTGCAGAACCTTTGATTCTTGCAAGTTGTAAGCCATGGGATTGCACAATATTAAATGAGATATAAAACTGTCTATATTATACATGAAGCTAGATCGCAATACAAAACAGGGCATATTTGTTATGCAATGAAAATGAGACAAATTCTAATTCTAGGAAGAATACTACTGTGGACATCAGGAAAAATGGAATAAAATACCAAATCCAATTGCAGGGAGGGGGTGATGCTGGATTAGGAGAAAATTGCACACCCCCTTTCCACAAAAACGGAAAATTTGTGTCGGCAGAGAAATGTTTGATATATTACCTTTAATCTGTTCCTGATGAAGGAATTTCTTTTAATTCACTCTTTGAAGATGTTAAAAGTAATGCTGTTAGCATGCATTCAACAGTAAGCATTCTAAATAAAGTGGGTTTATCAAGAGCTTCCATAAAAGATTTATTTTTCCCTAAAAATAAACATGCAACAAGACAGTTTATTTAGATGATCAAGTATGAACATAATTTATTAACTCAAAGAAAAAAAAAATCATGAAGCTGACATCTTTTCAATAAGAGCTGCAACATCTTTCTCTTGTCCTGATGACAAGTTAATGTATTGCAGTGATTACTACATTGATTTATCAAAAACTGATTGATAATACTAACCACTTTACAGGGATGAGACTGCCAATTAGTGGAAAAGTTGGAAAATATGGCATGGGATCCTGGGGACCACCTAGGGCAATGATATTTCTGTCTCCAAAAATTAGAAAATCCATCAACAGTTAGAAAAATCTCATCCCTAATCTAAATTTATATATAAATAATAGCATTAACTAAAATTAAACAACAAGAAAAGAGATTTGATTTAAGTTCATGTCAACTGAATAGATAAATCTAAAAGAAAAAAAAATGTACAAAATCTGTAATTATTTTATGCACTCAGCGGCAGATATAATCCTAATGTCATTACTGACAACATGTGTGATAGACCCCCTGTCTCTCTGCATCGAATTCAACTCTGTCTTAATTCCCCCAAACATCACAAGTTCTCCCCTCCCTGCCACTAACGAATAAAATATTGTCTCCTCTGGGGCATCCTCCATAAAGTTCTCTCTGATTGGTTGCCACGTGACACACCCCTCTGTGATGGCAGTGCTTACATCCAGCACATGAAGTTGCATTGTATTTTTCTTGTCTCTTGGATAAAGGTAACTATTGCACTTCCTTGCCTTAAACTTTGAGGACTTTTTATGTTGTGCCTGAATAGCTTGAGCCCTAAGTCGATCCTCGTGCTTCCTCAGCATTTCTAACTGTTTCTGTCTGTTGCTCATCGCATTAGGGCGAACAGAAGGCATTCCTGCTCTAAGTGCAGATGGGGAAACATTACACGCACCTCCCTCTTCTCCAGATGGTGCTGCAACCTGTTGATCATTAAAACTGTCACTAGATGGTGCTGCAGACACATTATTATAACTGTCACTGTCATCACTGGAGCTGTCACTAGTATCAATCAGTGCTCTTTTTGAGGGCACAGAATGTGCTGACAGACCAGGCTGAGAATTTAATATCTGACCCTGTGGCCTTTGACCTCTGACCTGATCCTCCCTGGGTGGCACCCATACCCTAGATGGTGCTGGTCTGGGCTGAGGAGGAGGCTCGTGGGAGGAAAGGGCATGTGGGGCTCTGGCTTTGTGTGGCTTGCTTAACACCACCACCTTGTCTCCAACCTGAGGAAAGTAAAGCATTCAAAATATACTGTGAAAAAGAAAAGACAAGAAAAAAAAAAAAAAAAAAAAAACACTGCAAAGATTGAAAAAGCATTTGTGTACAGAGTCTATGCTTTTATATAAAAGCCCAAACACTACAGAGTTGGCTCTCCCAAACAAAGTGGGGCATATTTGATAATTTGGCACTAAATAAAATAATACAATTGGTACAATTGTAAAAAATAAGTTATTTGGCATTCAATAAAACAGCTCACTTGACATGCTTTCAAGCAGCATGATTTAAAGTTGAGGCTTTCCCCAGAGAACCGTCCAGCCATCATTTGGAAGGCAAAAGCCTGCCTATATTTTCAAAGACAGATGAATAACTTATAAAATTTTTGGAAAATGACAGGTTGTTTGGTTGGGCTTGTTTGGGTTGGACTCCCTGTAAATTTACCAAATCACGGATTCACATTCTGGATTCCCTGTACCCCAAATCTTGGGGAAATCTGTAGTAGAGAATGTGTACCCATAAACATTAAAGGGAGAAAAAAAGCTTACCTGACATGCTGGATGACACCACAACTGAGGGGAACTATTCTCTGGATTATGAATCTCCATTTCTTTCCACTTCCATGGCTCATCTTGCTTCACTGTAAGCAGCCAGATGTCACTGTATTGCTGAAATAAGACAATAATGATTATAGGAAATAGAGCCGAGAAGTTTATCAACACAGTGTATTCATCAATGATTATCATGATAATGGTTTGATTATTATTAACTCATAAACAAGTAGTAGCAATATTATATATTATATATTATATATATATTATTAACTCATAAACAAGTAGTAGCAAGTCATGATATCATAAAACACATGTGCACAAGCATGCTAAGCAGCACAAACATTCATGGCAGCACAGGGGTTGAAACGAAAATTTGGAGTCAGTGGTCCTATGGGACTAGTGACTTTGCTGTGTCATCAGCCAAATTTTAATGGTTCTCATACAGCTATATGCATTTTAGCATGTAAAATTGATGTTTGGCATGACAAAAATATATAATTATATTCATGAAACAGTGTCATCAGACACTGGTTTAAAGTGATGAAACTCACCATATTCGGTCCCCCACAACCTCCAACTATCAGAATATGGTGTGAATCCAGCACAATCTAAAATAAAAGACAATTCAAGTAATCTTAAAATGTGTACTTGAGAAAATTATCCTTCAGAAATATTCTATTCCTATCGTGGTCTATGTACAGAATCTTGCTGCGGATCACAGTTGCTTTGTTTGTTTTTGTTTTTTTTTTCACTCAGATAACATCAGTGATTGTAATTATGATAAAGCCTTGCACTGCTGATAAAGGATCTATATTCAAGCAGGCATGGTTTCAATGACTGGGTCTTTTTCAAATGGGAAAAATTGTGGACTTCACAGATCGTGTATTTATTTTTAGGTCATAAATTCTGAGAACCTTCATATTGAGTAATGGCAACCAAACTAAAAAGCAAGTTACCTTATAGTTGAGCAAAATTGTTCATTGGCTTGAAAATTGGATTATCATTGAACGTTTTACCTGAGATTGCCCATATCTGGCCAAGGGCTTGGGACTGGTGGTAGCAACTTTGCTCCATGTCATGGTTTGTAAGTTCAACACTGCCAGGTCATTGCAGCTGAAAGAGAACATACCAGGTAATTTTAAAGCAAAAATATATCTTCAAACATGATTGGCTTTGCCATACCCAGCATAACCAAAAATCTGCTGGCTTTGAGGCCTGTACCTGTCAAGAAACAAATAGGTTGGTTGGTGATCTTTGAGCAGTACATGTACATCTGAAGATTGTGACTGTCACAACTAACACAATTTAGGATTGTGACTATTACAAGTAACACAATCCAGAACTTAGATTGTGAGTGTCACAACTAACACAATACAGCATATCTCACCTACTACCCAGTCCATGAGATCCACCAAACACAACCATCATCCCATCGCCTATGATACTGGCTGAATGTCCAGCAGTGGGCAGTGGTGGGCAGTGCGTGTGGACCAACGTCCACCTATTGGACACAGGACTATAGATGTGCAGCTCGTTGAAGAGTCTGGCCGGACCTAGCTGATGTAATGGATAGGGGGTAGGGTGGCTCCATCCCCCAAATAGTATCAGGCTGTCTTTATATTTCACCATGGAAGCGTAGCCCTTTGGAGCTGGGTAAATACCTACAATAGATATAGAAAACATAATAAGACAGCTGATGATGCAAAGTCTTATATACTTACTGTCTTTTTAATTTGCATTACAGTCCCAGATAAAAAAGATATCTGTTCAACTGATTGTGGTTTAAAGGTATGCTATCAGTGTTTGGAATGTCTCAAAGTTATATTTCAGACAGTTATGCAAAGCCACTCATTTTTCAAAATAAAGATTTTCAAAAACGAGAAACCCCTCAAATAAAATCACCTGACAGCAATATTTCCTTATGAAATGTAAAGGAAGACAGGGCAGTCTAAGTAACTTTCCAATTAAATCCATAAGAACTTAATTTTTTAATGAGTAATGGCATTACAAAAAGTCAAATCCTCAAGTCAGTGTAAGAGGAGTTACTGATATAGTGAAGGGTATAACTTTTCATATGCCTAGTTGTACATGTAATAGGAACCTAGGAAAGCCAGGAAAGATACTACAAGAGGGCATAGTGCATATACAACATGTGGGTTGGTTCAAAGCACTGTTCAGAGTAAAACCCCACGAGCAAATGGTTATTGCTTAGGGCTTTATCTTCACCCTCAACTTACCCATGGCTAGTGGCCTTATCCATTGTCTTGTCCCAAGGTCATACCTCCAAATATCATTGAAGGTAGTATTCGTTGATGTACAGCCACCAAACACATACATCGACTTGTCAAAGTAGCACACACTGTGAGAGTATCTCTCCACTATGGTGGGGCCATCCTCTGGAGGAATAAAGGTCCAGGTGATATTGGACTCTGTTAGGGCACGGTAAAGGGCTTGTTGTTTATGGACCATAAGACCTGAAATTCAGGTGAAAAAATAGATTAACAATAAATTTGAAAGTATAGCTGTGAATAAAAGAAAAAGTGTCCTCAGCTAAGCAGGTCAAAGAGGACAGTGTGTTTTACAGTATTAATAATATACTATGAACATTCTTTATGACACCGGTCTCTTAGTCTTACCTTGATTAATTAATAAAAAAAGAAATAAAATGAAAAAAATAAAACGGTCTAGATGGGTATATCACAATCCGCTAGGGGCGCTACAGTAGTGACTATCCAGGGGTAGTGAAGTGTAAAACTGATATCAGCCTGCTGACAGCTCACCTATGGCAACCCTTTCTTAAATCTCTCTTTTAGCGCCGTGTAAATAAACAAATACAAGCCATTTACTAGATAAGCTGTAAATCAAAGAGTAAATTCCGGTCATGTGATTTTCCGTGTTGCAGTCTTAGAGAACTTTGATTTGAGGACGTTTTTAAGTTTTGCCTCGACAAAATGTTTAAAATTTCAGATATGTACTGCATGGGAGTTTTTGTAATTTATGCCGTGTAAAGTTCATGAAATTTGCAATATTATGCCGAAAAATCGTGAAAATTGAACCATGCTAAGTATAGTTTATTTGATGAGCAATATTTATAGTACATGATATGCACGGAAGCCATCCCAGCCATGTGCTTGTGCGGTCCCCAATTGGGGTTTGTTTCCAGGTCATTAGATTAACATACAGCCCTAATTGCCCTAATTTGGTCACAAGCAATTTGAGCTGCAGCTACAGCTGAGTGATCACCGCTGGTCAGTAGTTACAGATTCTTAGCTGAAGAGTGTGGACACTTTTGGTGAATTTTTGCAGTTAAAAAACTTCAATATCTTTGTTGCTTGTAGGAATATTTCAAAAATTCCAAAAGAATTCATCTGTTTTTTGTATCACCTTTCAGAAGATATAAGTATAGTAATTTTCTGATCAGTTTGAAAAATTTTCTAATATACCTAGTCTAGGAAAATTACACTGTAATTTCCTTTCACTAAAGATACTAATAAAAAATAAAAAAGCTACTTTTCATTTAAGAAATAAATAAATAACTTGTTTCATCTTTACAAAAGAGCATAAAATGTTAGAAAATAACCCGTGTTTCTTACCTTTCACCACTCGGTTCCAAGCTTTGCACACCTGTAACGCCGATTTAAAGTCTTTGTAAGGCGACAAGTACCACAAAATATGCTCCAATATTTCTTCTGGTAAGTCATCGATAGCGGTACAAAATACTGTATTCTTTGATCCATCCATTATTTCAATAAGGACTTAAATACCGAATCAATTTAATCAAAGTTTACACATCAATTTTGTATTCGACTGGAGGCAGCCATTTTTTTGTGCCGTAGTAGAACGCTAAAGGTGATTGGCCAGAATTCCTAAGTTGGCCTATTAAAGAGCATGTTCCCATTTCTGCGTGCTTCTTGTAGAAAACTTCCGGTTCTGGGTCAAGTGACAGCTCAATCCACAGGGCTTTTTCCGAACAAGAGCAAGACATATTTAGTAGGTGGCACTTTACCTTTTTGTTGAAACAGGTAGTGGAGAAGTAAATTGCCTTTTCATGGGACAATACCACACATACATATTTGTTTTTATTATTTGATCCATTTGGATCACAAAAATTAAATGAAAGCTGCGCCAATACATGTACATTGACATTATAATTTATATTGTAACTTCCTGTTGCAGATTGTGGGACCACCAGCATGGAAGACAGTGATCAGCTGGACAAGGTATGCAGACAACTGGATCAGCTTGTCTTGGACTTATTTAACACTCTGGACTCTTTGTATTCTGAACAAGCTAATCTTGACCTACAAATGAAAGATGGCTACCTCCAGATGTCCAAGGCTCGCTACACCATGGGAAACAAAGCAGTGTCTTCTCTACAGTATGACACCAGAAACATGCAAGCTGTGGTCAAAGTTGATGCAGTGGCGCCCTCTGTCGATGGTGGTGGAAACGATTACGTGTTTTCTTTAGTGAAATGTGGCGAAAAAGGAGAGGGTATTGCTCCATCTGGTGGGGAAGGAGATGCAACATCAAAAGGCTTGAGGCACAGAAATGTGAAATCGGAAAATGTGAAAGATAGTGGTTCGTCAGATCAGCATGATAGGAGTAAGAAAGAGGAAGATGAGACGTGTGAATTGGAAAATAAAGAAAGCACGGAAAATGAAAAATGTGCAAATGATAATAAGAAAAAAAGTGAGGACAAAGTCTCATCCAAGAAGGAGAACAATTCAGCTGTTCGATGTTACGATCCTCTGAAATGGTTTGGGGTGCTTGTACCACAGAGTCTTAGACAGAGCCAAACTGATTTTAAAAAAGCCATTGAAACTGCATGCAAAATTGCAGAGCTTCGCACAAACTTGGAAAAAACTCGTATGAAATACGGATCTCTACTACAACAGAAAAAAGAATTACAAGCAGAACAGTAATCCTCCAACAACTGGGATAAGAAATTGATTTAAAATTGCATTAAACTCAATAGTATGTGTACACTACCTTTTTCTTTTTTTGATTTTATCTTTCACATTTATTAAATATATGTAATCACAGGATATTATGCGGAATATGATAGCACAGCTGGGTAATTGACTTTAACTTGCTCCTGAATTTTATCCTTGGGATTAAAGTGGAAGTGTGACTGTGTCAAAGAAATAATACTTTAAGAAATCACTTGTATAAGGTTTTTATTTTTCGTTGGTGTAAATCTCCTCTTGAGGACATGATCAAATTGGTTGGTAACATGATCATATGAGTACAAATAAGAATTAACTTCATTTAAATATTAATAATAACCGATGTAATGGAAAAAAAATGGAAAAAAATTTGAAGGGGAAGTCGTATGCACATATTGTGCAAAAAGTTTAACAATAGCTGGGTGTTTGACAATATTTACATTAAATTGAGTATTAAACAGCAAAACTAACAACAGATATGCCTCACAAATTTATGCAATAATTCATTTTACTTATGCACTACAAAAAAAAAAAAAAAAAAAAAAATCGTATCTAATATTATGGCACCATATATGGTTAAATCCATTCCCATTCAGAAGTAGCAAGCATGAACATTTGTGCTTTGGATGAAGAGAGTAATGTTACATGACATTGTACATCAAATAGGAATGTAAAAATATATGTATAATATGTTAACTGTCAATGACAATAATGCTGTAAAAATTACAGAATAATCCTTTCTCTGAAAACCAATTGAACTTTAAAATACATGATAAAATGTTTTGTAGCAAAATTTATAATCACAATCAACAAAACTAAGAGATTTTTGTTAATCATTAAAGTTTAAGTTAGAATTGAACTAAATACAAATAGATATAGAAAAAAATTAAAAGCAGAAAAAGTTCAAATTTAAATAACGACATAAAATTTATAATAAGCAAAAATAAGAAAAAAATGTTTTGTTTTTTAAAGATCAGTTTTGTGATTGTTTTTCTGTTAAACAGTGACCTTTTTTCAGAATAACACCGATATCAGTGCTATGGAAGATTGCTATGCATATTCCAACAAAAGATCACAAAATGATGAAAAGAATCTATTTCTCTCTCATGCACACACGAACAAACACAAACCTAGTCTACAGTGCCTGGATAGGAAACAAGGTTGTGGTATTTTATTTGTTGTACTTATTATGACAGAAAAAATAAATTTTGAAAAATACCCAAAATATGCCATCACAAACCTAAGACAGATGGGATAAGGTTATTTATAAACAAAATTCAATCACACGCTCTAGTCCTCTTTATTGCTCTCCACCTTGTTTTGCACTAAAATTTTCTTAATGTTTTCCACAAATAAGTATCGTGACATCTATAAGATTCTTTAGAATCTTACACAGTGTATATGATCACAGTGTTCCCAATATTAAATCTCAAGAATTACAAATCCCTTGCCTAACAATAATTACGTAAATATATCTGGTCAATCTTCATCTAATACATCCTGTTCTGGTAAAAAACCTAATTACTGGGGGGGAAAAAATAATAAAACATGAGCCCATTTCAATTTTAAAAAAATGTTGCTTTCACCCCATTAAATCACAGATTTCCCTTTAAATAATCACGGAACTCCCCGACAAACAAAGACCCTTCCATCCACAATGCCTTTGCATACACCCTCACGGTGTAGAAAGCTGTAACAAAGTCTGTGGTTCCAAACACAGTGTCCGCCAGGGCAAAGGGAAGTGTGGATGGTATAAATCCTCGGCCATACTCTACCATCCATGTGTCAGCTTTGAAGTTAAGAGATGTGACCTCTCCCATTCCATGATAAATGGTGTCCCCTGAAATGTATTTGGCGAGAAGGAGATTGATATTGCAGTGATGAATAAGTAAAGAAGCAAAGAAATAAGAGTGCATAAAAAATCTGAATGAAAATTATTTAAAAAAAGAAACGAGTGATTGAGTGAATGTGCATTTACAGGGTGGGTGAGTTGATATATATACCAGTGAATGAATTAATGAAAAAACAAAGAAACAAACAAATATATTATGAATGAAGGTCTATCACATCTTACAACTATTTGAGGTAGAGACTATTAACGCGGGTAACACATCACCATTCACGTCAACAAGTCTAAATGGTGGCTTGAAATGTAGCTTATGAATCTCATCATCAATAACTTAAAGATGGCATACAAAAGTGTGCTGTTAAGCTCTTGTTATTAATGTGATGGTATATCAGGGGCAGATCCAGAGATTTTTTCTGACAGTCTTCCAAATTATCCTTGTTGATCCAGCCTCCATTTTTGACCGTCTTCCGACAAAAAAATTAGATACCCATCAATGAAAAATTGAAAATCTGACCGTCTTCCGGAAGACCCAGAAGACGGCCTGAATCCGCCCCTGTATATAGCAACGTAACGGTAGTGTATGGCTCTCATTATCAATAAAAAAGTGAACAGAAACATAGCAGATGGGCCTCTGAATTAATTCTGTATATATTGGAGTCAAGAACTACTGTGTTTTATCACCAGGTCCTATGTATTACCAGGCCCATAAAGTATTAAATCTGTATTGAAGTCAAGAAAAACTGCATTTTATAAACTCCTTACCAGGTCCATAAACAGTGCTTTTCATTTCCCCTTCCTTCCACTGCAAGTATTGTCCAGTGATCAATGTATCTGAGATATTGGCCCAGTACCTGCCTGTTTAAATAAGGGACATATATTTAGACAGCTGGCTACTAGATGAAATTTGTAATAATTGGGAGGAAAACTACAAAATCAGAATGCAAACAGATATTCTTCTTTAGAATAAGGCTGCTGTATATTTCTGCTGTGAATACTTGCACAATCAGAAATATTGAGTTGTGTCATGGTATCTTTGTCACCTCATAAATTTCCTTGGGACTCTTACTCTCCACTCTTAAGAATGTAACAAATGAAAAGATAGGATATAAAAATATGACTCCTCATCTATGTATACACCAAAGCCCAAGGTATAAAGTCTATGGAAACTCACCATACATGGCTAAAGAATTTAATACTTAAATAAAAATAAAGAATAGAGGCACAATCAGCCCTATGATATCCAGTGTCTGGGGTAGCGCTAGCAATTTTTGTCGCTTAACCAAATCACCACTTTTTTGTCAATTTGTTATCAAAATGGTTATAATTTGACTAAAACAACTCAAATCAAGCCCTTTTTCTTTAGCCAATTTAAGTAAGTTTTAGCATTTGGCTAAATTGGCCAGTGTTAGCGCTACCCCAGAGTGTAAAAAACTTTACGTCTGTGATACCTGAGTGCCCTGCTGTATCGATGGCTGTACCAAAGAAGAGAACATACTCTGTGAGGGAGGCATGAACCACCATCATACTCCCCATCCAGCCTCCTGCATTGACAAAGATCCATTGATGATCTCTACTGGGAAGTATGTGCCCTGGGTACAGATCCTCTAGTTCTTTGAGGATATCTCTGAATGCTGCCTCAGCCTCATAGCCTGAAAAATTAAGTGTGTTAGGTGAGATAGTGAGCTGTTTGTTATTGTGCTTGGCGTGATAGTGGGCCAAGTGACAATCTGTTAGGTTAGATAGCTGTGACAGTCTTAGAAAATGTCAACAGACAAATGTTAGTCTTTTTAACTGTTTTTTTTAAACAACTATTACTGTTATTACTAATTTTTACCATATTATTTAGATTATTAGATTATGTACTTGGTGTGATTGCACTAGGCGTGTTAAAGCACTGGAGAGAAAAGGTCTTGTGCAGAGGCATTCATTTTCTTTGAATGAAGGATTAATTTGTTATTCAGTGGCATCATGTTCTGTAGGATTTTTTTAGGAAGCAGCTCTCTATTCACAGCCTGTCAGTGATATTGCATTAGACTAGGATAAGGCAAAATATTTCATTAATTTACGCATCTGTGCTGAATGACACAAGCAAACGATTCACTGATCGTCTATGCATGGTCATAGGGCTCGTACACAATGAAAACAAACGATGTTAAACAATGACACAACGGTAAATACCTGCATATTTCTCTGATATCTTGGCTATCTTCCCTGCATCAAACACATAATCTTTGTTGGATAGCCAAAAGTGTATACCATAAACAAGTACACCTAGAAGTAAGCTAATTTTAACTAAAGAAATGATACATCTTAGCATGCAGACCACCATTTTGAACCAAACAAACTTTGCCGCTTTTCATTGGTCGAGTCTTGTAAGCATGACCATGATTGGCTTATTTTTTAAATAGTTTTCCAATCTCCTTAAAAGAAGATTATTCAGTTTATCAGGCAATGAGGTTGTAGTATTTTCAAGACTGCGGAGTTCTATTTAAACAATTTAATAATTACTTCCGTTTTAGGACAGGTGAGTTGTTTGTGGTTACCTAAGCAAGCTAAAGCTTTTCCCGTGTTACTTACTTTTTAAAATGCAAATTGAAGTGAAAGCAAAGAGTTTTGTGTGACCAAACTTACAGTTCTTTTGGAGTTGTGCTTAATATGTCTAACTAGTCGATTGCTTGTTCAAAAATTAGTTAAAAATTTAAAAAAATAAACACGCCTTGCGGCATGCTATCGACGAATTCTTAATTAAAGCCGAGCTTGCCTAAGGGTGCACAAAACAGCAAAAACTTGGAATTAGATAATAATAATAATAATAATAATAATAATAAAACGCCCCCCCCCCCCAAATTAAAGAAAAAAAGTCCTCGATCATTACAGTACAAACATGAGACATACAGTAGCTCTCCTGAGTCCTACCCGAAATGAAGAGACCGAGGATGAGAAATTGAAGAAAAAAAATGCTGAGCTCATTACACAAAGTTGATATCAAACAACTATCATTTGATATTTAATTTTTAGTTGTATCATGAGTGACTCTTTCTAAAAGTGATCTTGAAAACTTAAACATTTAATCTTTATTTTCTTATGATCACCATCATTGGTGTTTTTCAAAACTTCCAAGAACCCTTGTTTTGCGAAGGCAACTAGTAACTTCAGATACATAGACAACACATGGTATCACAATCATTGGTGTTTTTCGAAACTTCAAGAACCCTTGTTTTGCGTAGGCAACTCTCAAGACCCTGCAGGAACTGGTAAAAACACGATCAAAAGCTTTCAATATTGCGTCATTTCCCTCTCGAACTTGTCGCCCATGGGGAGGATGCACAATTTTCCCATCAATATGTCACCTCTTGACAGAGAGATAACAAGCTGACAGTGTGCTGAGGGTCAATTAGCTATGATGTCTTTGGATCTGACCAGCTGATCCAAATCATATCCAGCAAGATGAAATGACTTTGATTGCTACTTGAACAACCATTTGGAAGACTTTGATTGTCTCTAAGGAAACATCACCCTGAGATTTTTGGTGAACCTCTTTCTTGACATGTTCCTCCAGTCCACATGGGAAATAACTTTTTCACAATTAGATTTAAGACTACTCCAATCTTGCACATCGTCAAACAAGTTTCTTTGGTGCATTCTTGTTCATCTTGTGTAAGGGTCTTTGTAATCTCATCTTTTCTGATGTGGTGGCCAAAACCTTTACTAGTAGTTTCATTCTTGAGATGGTTTGTAAGATATTCTCAGACTCACTTTGAATAGTTTCTTTAAGCTTACACCATAAAATGTTCCAAAAATGTTTAGTAGCTTTCCTACTGATTTAAATTCGGACAATGTGAGCTTCTTTTGCATATTCTTGGATGGTGTCCAAAAAAAAAAATAAATAAAAAATGGACATGAATGATGAATTTCACCATGTTTTGTCTTGATATTTATTTATTTTCAAATAAGGGGCAAAGGAACTATTTAATGCAATAGAATTATATGGCAAAAGATCAAACACTTATTAATTGTTTTTCTAAAACCCTCCATACACTTAATAATCTCTGTAAATAAG